TTCATATTTTTCATATAATACCGTATATACTCGAGTATAAGCCGACCCGAATATAAGCCGAGGTGCCTAATTTTACCACAAAAAACTGGGAAATCGTATTAACTCGAGTTTAAGCCAAGGGTGGGGAAATGCAGCAGCTATGGGCCAATTTCAAAATAAAAAATAGATACGAATGAAATTAAATTAATTGAGGCATCAGGAGGTGAAATGTTTTTGAATTTTTACATAAAACTGTAATTTATGTCGAACTCTGATTAAACCATTACTCTAACCTTCTTCAGTGTAAATGTGCTTGTGTATCCTTCCAATAATAATAAAGAGAGTAAAATAATAAATGTCATAAAAATAATAATAGAGTAAAATAATGGAAATGTAAGAATAACATAATAATAGAGTACAATAATAAATGTAATCACAATAATAATAGTAATAATAATAGAGTAAAATAATAAACGTAATAAAATAATAATAGAGTAAAATAATAAACGTAATAAAATAATAATGGAGTAATATAATGTAAATATAATAATAATAGAGTAAAACAATGCATGTAATAATAATAGAGTACAATAAAAATGTAATAAAGTGATAATATATAGAGAAAAATAATAAATGTAATAATGTTAATAATAGAGTAAAATAATGTAAATGTAATAATAATAACAAATAGAGTAAAAGATTAAATAATAAATAATACTAATAAGAGAGTAAAATAATAAATAACCTTAACTCGAGTATAAGTCGAGGGAGGCTTTTTCAGCCTAAAAAAGGGGTTGAAAAACTAGGCTTATACTCGAGTATTTACAGTATATAGATAGATAGATAGATAGATAGATAGATAGATAGATAGATAGATAGAGATAGATAGAATGGTGCATATAATATCTTTCCATATATATATATATAGGAAAGATATTATATGCACCATTCTCTCTCTCTCCCTCTCTCTCTTGTCATATAATACTATATATATATATATATATATATATATATATATATATATATATATATAGTATTATATGACAAAATATAGGTTTTAAAAAGGCAACAGCTTTTTCAAAGAGAGAAATGGAAAGCAAAGTATTGCAACTGAAAGGGTATTGTGCTGCTTTTTTTGTGGTAAGGACTTATTGTCTTTGCAGGCTGTTTAACACACACACATACACACACACACACAATATTGTTTTAAAGGGTAATTTAAAAACATGGATGGCTGGGTGGCTATCGATAGCGATTACTAAAAAAAACCCCACATATTTTATTAAATACATTTTGAAATAAAGCCAAAGAGAAGTTAACTGGGTTTGTAAAGAAACTTTGCCGTAAGTTACGGGACGACAATATTCTTCAAAGTGACATCGAAGGCAAAAAAAGAGACTACGAATCTTCAAAGGGAAGCCTTCATTTCTCCCTATATTATTTCTTATTTATATGATAGATGGCTGGTGTATCTTTGGAAAGTCTCCAAAAACATTACTGTGGGGAAATTGCAACAAGTTCCCCAATAAAGAGCCCTTATATTGGAAGGAAGGAAGGCTGGGCAAAAATAAAGTACGTAAAGTTAATAAAGTGTTGGCATTTCTTTGGAAGATAGGACGGCTGTCAAACCAAAGCAGATCAAGATCCAGGTTCGGGAACTGACTTTTCCTCCATCTCTCTTTCTGGAGTTTTATCTATCAGATAGGTAGATACACACACATATATACATATATATATACATATGGGATTAAGGGAAAATGTTTAGTTTTTCAATGTAATTTTAATTATGTTTTAACCTGGGTATTCATGGCACAGATACACATTGTTTTATTCACTTTTGTATTTGTATGTATATGTATTTGCCTTGTTTTTAAGTTATTATGTGTCGGGTCATGTCATTGTTAGACACCTTGAAATCCTATGGGGAGAAAGGCAGGATAATAATAATAATAATAATAATAATAATAATAATAACAAGAAATTAGAAATAGAATGCATAATATATAATATATATATATAATATATAATATAATATATATAATATAATATAATATATATTATAATATAATAGAAATAAAATTAGAAATAAAGTGCATAATATATTCTATATATAATATAGAATATTATATATATTATATTATAATATAATATATAATAGAATATAGAATATAGAATATTGTATGCGTGTCTATGTATGAATATACACATACACAGGCACTATATATACATACGAGGCCTCCTTCAAGTCATTGAATCTGAAACCACCTAGGTTGTCTTTCGGAGGACCTCTGACTTCTCTATGTAGTCTGACACTGAATCATGTTAAAACAGCTTTAAAATCAGGGGTCATGAAGCAAAATCCTGAATTTTTCCAAAATGGTTCTGATGCCAGGATTCAACGATGGTGCAAATGTGTGTTGAACAGTAGTTTTGTGTACAGTTTAGGCAATGATCTGAAGCAACTTCAGCTGTTACAGGTTCATGCATAAGGTTTTTATGACACAGGAGGCAAAACTTTTTGACCCACTCTCGTGTGGGTGTGTGTGTTGTGTTTTCCTTTCATTGTTGTTTAGCTAGCAATTCTACCAAATTCTCATTGGGATATTTCAGAATATATATTCTGAAACATCCCAATGAGAAGCTGGCAGAATTGCTGGCTAAACAATAATGAAAGGAAAACACAACAAATCCACATTTTTCTGAGGTTGGTTTTGGAAAGGAGAATGGCAGAGAAAATATGAAACGGATGGATCACAATTCAGTCCGACTTTCTTCCTTTCCTTTCCTTTCCTTTCCTTTCCTTTCCTTTCCTTTCCTTTCCTTTCCTTTCCTTTCCTTTCCTTTCCTTTCCTTTCCTTTCCTTTTCTTTTCTTTTCTTTCTTTCTTTCTTTCTTTCTTTCTTTCTTTCTTTCTTTCTTTCTTTCTTTCATTCTTCTGTTGTTTCAGTCTTTCATTCTTTCATTCTTTCACTCTTCCTGGACTGAAGAAAGTAGTAAAATCAAACCAAATGCCACTTCCTATAAGACCAGAGCAATTTTCTACCCATCCATACCAAACCAGGCTCCGAAAGCTTTTACACAGCAATCTGGAATTTGCTTGCTCTTCCAGACCTCAAGGCTGAATTATTGTTTACCGAGGTCACTTCTAAATTTGTGTGTGTGTGTGTGTGTGTGTGTATATATATATATATATATAGAGAGAGAGAGAGAGAGAATTGTCTTCATGCAAACAATAATTTCCTATGCTTCTGGAAACCAAGTATCACCCAATAATTGCCCAAAATAAGGATTAGTTTTTATTCCGTCCGCTTCCAAACCACAATCGACAAAACTCACATCCGCGTTGTTTAATCCCAAATGACCACATTTGCAAAGACGTCCATAATCTAACCTTTTTTGGGGCCATATCTGGGCATTGAAAAAGTGGACGAAAGGTTTTAAAAGGGACTGGTCCACATTGTTCCGTTACATTTTGTATTTTGATCCATTGGGTCATCTCTCTTTCTCTCCAGGCATGTAGCTGGGGGGGGGGGGGGGCTTGAGGGGCTTCAGCCCCCCCCCCGAAATTCTCATGGTGGTTTCCGAAAAGGCCTTACTGGTGCATTATTTAAACTGTTATGTTTATTCATATCATGATCTGATCACCATACTCAATATATCTCATATGCATGGCGGTATTGGGGTAATGATACAAAAGGTTTGCTAGGCTAGACCCTCTTTCACTCAGACTCAGCCAAAACTCAGCCCCCCCCCCCCGAAACCCCCCCTGAAAAAAATTCAGCCCCCCCCAAACGAAATCCTGGCTATGGGCCTGTTTCTCTCTACAGTATAAGTTATATATAAATGTGGTCTTCCGTAAACCAGTGTTTCATAGCCTTTTACCCTTTTACCAAGTTTGCAAAATCTGTGTGGTTTTTTTTTCTTTTTTTCTTTTTAATCTGTGTGTTTGTTTTGTTCTGTTAGAATTGTAACACAATGGTATGGTTGCTGATGACACGATAAATAAATACCCTCAAAATGTTAAAGGAATCTCTGCAAAAGTAAAAGGCATATATAAGTATTTAAAATCCTAATTCAATGCACAACCCTAACTATTCTGAATATCTTTTCCCTTTGAAATAAATCTTGAATTCTATGATAACTGATCCCGTTTTGTAAAGGCACAGTTTTAACCTTTCCAGGGTAGGCTAAACTGGAGGCAAATCTCGTTCCTTCAGATTTGAAGGCCTATCTTTGTTATTTTTTGACATTTACTCATGAAAAAGGCACCCCAAGTGACTGTGACAAAGAGCTCAGTGTCTAGAGAGAGAGGCAAATCTGTCCATTTGTTTCCTTTCTTTAAAAAAATAAGATGATAATGTTGGCTTGATGTGGTCAAAATCAGCCCAGGCTTCAAAATTGAATCCTTTCGTGTTTCGCTTCTTTGAAAAAAAGGCAATTTTCAAAGTACAGTCCTCATTTATGCAAAAGGAAGAACCAGGATATTCAGCGGATCTGACTCCATAGAAAACGGCTAAACATGTATCTGCATAGAATGCATCTACATTGTAGAAATAACCTAGTTTCAGGCCACTTAATTACCATGGCTCAGTGACAGGGAATCCTGGGAGTTATAGTTTTACAAACCCTTTAGCCTTCTCTTGATGCCTCACCAAACTACAAATCCCACAATTCCCTAGTAGTGACCAAAGGGACCACAAGTGATGTCAAACTGCATTAATTCTACCATGTAGATCAAGCACGGGCAAACTTTGGCCCTCCTGTCGGGAATTGTGGGAGTTGGAGTCCAAAAGACCTGGAGCGCCAAAGTTTGCCTGTGCCTGATGTAGATGCAACTTGAGTTTCGTAGTGTTTCTGTTTATAGGAGCTCAGGGACACCATAAAGGCTGATTAGTGTGACAAAAGGAAAACTATGAATAAACAAAAGCATCTCCAAAAACAGGGTTAAAGGAATGAAATGCAGCATGTGATCTAAATTGATTTGATGCCTCTAATTGACTGTTTTTATTATTCTCGAAACAGCTCACCTTGTGCCAACCTCAACTAAGCCGCAATCATGATGTCAGCTTTGCCTTTCTGCTAAAGGAAAGTTCTCAGCCTACCTCTTCTTGGGTAAATATTCATTGTTGTTGAAAGCTAGCTATTTGTCTGCACCTTGTTGGAGAGAGAGCTTCCCCCCCAGAGGTGAAGGATATTAGGGTGGCAACAAAAGGCCAAAGCTTGAGAAAATTACATTAGGTTGTTATAGGTTTTTCCGGGCTGTATAGCCATGTTCTAGAGGCATTTTCTCCTGCTATATGGCCATGCCTCTAGAACATGGCCATATAGCCCGGAAAAACCTACAACAACCCAGTGATTCCAGCTATGAAAGCCTTCGACAATACAAAATTACATTACTTTTGGTCTGCAACTCTCCAGTTCTGTGTAATCAATGGATATGATGTTTATGGACTACTAGATTATGGACTACTGGATTGTGCTGGTTGGAAGTTGTAAACCCCAAAAGGAACTTTGCTAAACTTTGCTTCTGAGGTCTACATATTTAAAACATTCTACAAAACGCAGTTCTTTTCGGTTATCCAGGTGGAGGCCACAAAGAGGAACTAGAGAGAGAAGGATAGTCCATTTTATGGGGTAGAAGTTGGGTTGAAGGAGTAAACCATTTCTCCCTGTTTTCCTGTTATTCCCCCACCCTCGTCCCCACCGTGGAAACAACCCTTGTTTATGATATGGAAAGGGTGGAGGGGGAATAATCAGCAAAAACGGGGGAAATTATTTCCCCCTTTCAACTCCCCTCTGTAAAATGGACTATTGTGCCTAGTGGCTTCAGTATAGATAATGGAATAGTATCAATGATGCAAATAAAAGAGGAAGCAAGGAAAATAGGTGGACTGGTTGGAAGGAATTTGAGACCACTGGGCATAAATGGAGGAGTGAAAACTAAACAAATCGATAAATCAGGAGAGAAGGATTCAAGAGCAGAGGTAATTTGGGTTGGCAGATGGGAGTAGATCAATCATTGGCTTCCTTTAGAACCAGATCAAAATAATGCATGGCTTTGTCCTACATCTAGTCTGTTGCTACTCCTTTCTTTTACAAGAAAAGTCCTTTGCAATGTGTGGGGCATCGTCTCCGATCTCCCTTCTCATCTTTGCACTTTCACACAATATCTGCTACAGAGCCTTCCTTGACACTTACCCTCTTCTCATTTGTTAGGCCCACTTGGCCCAAGTGCCAGATTTCAAGGCATCATCCATTAAACAGTCAGCTGGATGCTTGGAATGGTTCTTCCAGATAGATCTGACACCCAGCTTTGACTGGAGAAGACTCCCCCGTGAGAAGGGAGGGAAAATTAATAGCCGGCAAGCGTTCCTTCTGTCAGACCAACACCGTTGCATGGGGAGGGAACCCGACAGGGTCAACTTGGACCCATGTTTTCAATAGGGTTGGTGCTTCTAGGTTTTGATCCGGTGCCATTGCCCAAACAAAAAGGACATTGTAAGCCACTCCATCGGCAGCGGGCAAGGCTTCTCCAAGGCTCGCATCGCTCTATGAGGTTAGAACAGCAGCGTTAATCTCCTATCCAGTGTTTATAGAGCCCTCTCATCTCTGGGAGGGAGTGGAAGGCAGCCAAATTACAAGAAAACATTCTTTATTATCACCGAAAAAATAATCCCCGAACCCCCTGCTACTCACAACAGTGACCTGCAAGAGTTCAGCAAAATCTCTCATTGGAAATTGACAGGCTGGTTTGAAGGCCAGGCTGAGATCTTACAATGGCACTCTCCACATGTGCAGTTATATGTGTGGCAAAGGTGAACAAATGAACACACACCTCAATGCACATAGGCATTTGCAGCATGTGAATGTTGCATCTGCACGACAATGATGCAGCTTTGCTTCTGACACTTTGAAGTGAATATGGGCATTTAGCATTGGACAAAAATGCCCAACCATTTCCATAGGAAATGCATAGAATGAGAGTTGGAAGGGCAATCCAGGTCATTGCATCAAATTCCATTCTTAATACAGCTAGAGTAGGCATGGGCAAATTTCGACCCACAAATTTTGACCTGCCAAATTTCAACGTAAGAGTTGGAGTTCAAAACACCTGGGGGGAGGGGGGAGATTTGCCCATGTCTGAGATAGCGTATTCCCAGCTAGTAGTTCTCCATGCTCTTTTTGAAGATATCCAGAGAAGTAAACCACATCATTGAGTCCAAGAACCACTTCATGGACATTCTCCAGCTAGCACATCTCCCGTAGGCAGTTCTCAATACCCTTTTTTGGAGACATCCAGAGGAGACCTCACCATTGAGTCCAATCCCAAGCTGAATGCAGGTTCTCCAGCTAGGACATCCCCATCTCCAGACTCTTTTTGAAGATGTCCAGAGAAAGAGACCTCCCTATCTTTCTAGGTGGTTGGCTTCATTTCCAATCCACTCTTCTCATCTTGAGGTTCAATTGAAATGTGGGTTGACTTTATAGCAGAGAGTTGGACTGGATGGTGCTTGTGGTCTCTTCCTACTTTATTATTCTATGAAATCAGTCCTCCCATTAACCCCATTCTGGGATGTTGTTGTTCATTCATTCAGTCGTCTCCGACTCTTCGTGACCTCATGGACCAGCCCACGCCAGAGCTCCCTGTCGGCCGTCACCACCCCCAGCTCCTTCAAGGTCAGTCCAGTCCCTTCAAGGATGCCATCCCTCCATCTTGCCCTTGGTCGGCCCCTCTTCCTTTTACCTTCCACTTTCCTCAGCATAATTGTCTTCTCTAGGCTTTGCTGTCTCCTCATGATGTGGCCAAAGTACTTCAACTTTGTCTCTAGTATCCTTCCCTCCAATGAGCAGTCAGGCTTTATTTCCTGGAGGATGGACTGGTTGGATCTTCTCGCAGTCCAAGGCACTCTCAGAACTTTCCTCCAGCACCACAGTTCAAAAGCATTCTGAGATATTAGATAACAAATCTGGATTATCCTCTCTGTGACCACCTTTTAGATATTTAAAGAGGGCAACCAGGCAACTCATCAGTCTTCTCATTGCCAGGAAGAACATGTCAAAATCCCTCATCCTTTCTTCATATGCTCTGTTTCCCATGTCTCATGTCATTCATATGACCTTCTCCAAACATACTTCAACTTCTCTATATCCTTCTTAAAATGCGGCATCCAGAAGTACTCCAGATGCATAATATAGCAGGACTCTTGCTTCCTACTAGTACGTATGCATGATTCTAGCCAATGTGTTGATTTATACCCAGCATCCAAAATCATCAGAGTTCAATAGAGCAGAAATCCAAATATCTCTGCCTCGGAAAGTCTAGATTGATGCTTAAATTTCACCAGAGCAGAAAACAGCATGGATGAAAAATTTGGCCAATTCTCCATCAAGCTGCTTGGCTTGTCTATTTTCTTATGAACCGCACCAGTGGTTTCAAGTATGGTAGATAATTATAGCGTACCAGCAAAAAAGTTGAAAATTCTGGTAAAACATCATGCTGAGTGCCAGAAGAGTAGGAATGACATGAGAATTCTGGCAAAAAGAAGACCTTTCTTTCTTTCTTTGCAGGAAAGGACATCCTTTCGGGCAAATAAGAACCAGACCCATAAAAAAAAAGCTCAGTTGGGTCAAATCTTAATTAGGACAATTGAAATGTCCCCAAAGTCTGTGAGGTTTCAAATGCTTCAGAATTCTAAAGATAATACAGAACCTTAACGAGTTACCCGTGCATTTTCTTCCCTTCCTTTTCATGTAGATATACTTGAACTCCTCCAGCATCACATTAAAGAGAAATTTGGAAATGTTCCCAAAGTCATATATGTGTCACATACCTTAAAGCAAAAGAACAAGAAAAAACACCAACCCTAGAGGGATGGAGGGTGAGTAAAATGATACAGAATAATAATAATATGAAAGCCTTTTGCTAAGGAACGCTTCTATTTAAAGTTCTTGAGGGCAGAGATGTTGGCATGGAAGGAATCACAATTTTGAGGTGAGGGAAGATAGATTGGATTTGAAAGTATTTTGGGGATCAAATAACTACCCTATTCTGAAGTTTCATGTTTTTCTGTGGTCCCATAAAGGTGACAGTGAAGAATGTGAATTCGGCTGCGGTAGGTTTAATGTATGAAAGGCCTATGGCCAAAGGTATAAGAATTCTTTGTATACATCACCAGGCAGCATAACTTCCTTTTTTTCAAAACTTAATAAAACCCATTGTATGAATCGTAAATTTTTAATTTTTTTATAATGTAGGCGCATACCTAAAGTTTTGTTTTACGTAGTTTTGAAGATCAAATTAGGTAGGTGACATCCCCCATTCTCCATACACTGAGTCAACCGATTTCTGGCGTTTGTCATGACTCTTGCCAGCATACCAGGCATTATGTTGGCAATTTCTTCCTGGATGTTATTTATTTATTTATTTATTTATTTATTTATTTATTTAAAAGTTTTGTATACCGGCCTTCTCACCTCTCTTGAGGGACTCAGACCAGTTTCCAACCATAATATCACATACAATCAATAAAACCTCATAATACATATTACAGTAAAACATTAAAACAACAATTACAATCAATAACTATAATGGTCAGTCGTCACGCTAAAATCGTTGCTCATCATCCTCCATCCATATCTCAGGGTGTTGGCTCACTTGGCGAATGCCTGTCTCCATAACCAATAGGGCTGGACGGTTTCGTTCGTTAATTTTGTAATTCGTTATTAATTCATTTTTTTTATATAACGATGCGATATTGAACCATTCTGGAGCAACTAAAAATCGAAACGAATTTTTCAATTCGTTTCGTAATTGTTTCGAAATTGTTTTGAAATTGTTTCGAAATCGTTTCGTAATTGTTTCGTTATTATTTCCGTATGTCTGGTGCAAGTTTTATAGCTGTTATTTGTTTTATCAGTGATAAAAAAATAAATTATCACACCAGCAGTCAACAACAGAGGGAGAGGGAAGCTTCAGAAGTCCCCCCTGTCCCATTTGGAGGTTTTTTTAGCGTATTGCGCAATCGTGTCCGCCATTAACAAATCGATTCGTAATTGTTTCGTATTTGTTTCGTAATTTCCAAAATTTTGTAAATAACAAACTTTTTTAGAGAAACATTTCAGAATTCTTTTAAAAAACGAAACGCAAAACCCCCCTAAAAACAAATCGAGTTTAGAAACAAATTTTTCTGTGGTTGCCCAGCCCTAATAACCAAGTCTTCACCTGTTTCCTAAATGTCAGGATAGAAGGGGCGGTTCTGATCTCCAGTGGGAGAGAGTTCCAGAGTCAAGGGGCCACCACCGAGAAGACCCTGTCCCTCATCCCCACCGGACGCGCTTGCGAGGCTGGTGGGACCGAGAGCAGGGCCTCTCCAGATGATCTTAATAATCTTGATGGTTGGTCTTCAGATCTTGTAGGGTCCTTGAACGGTTCACATAAACACAGGATTTCAAAAAAAACCCATAGAAGAAAATCACAAGGGGCCAAATCTGGAGAGCGGGCCAGCCACTCCAAATCTGCTCGAAAAGTAGGCCTCAATGGCAAAAGCACGCTCCTCACTGTTCCAGCACATGATGGTGACTGAACTGTGTCAGGACAAAACTTTATACCCCCTCCTCTCGAATGAGACCACTAGTGCTCCGCTACGTCTTCAACCGACTGAATGGCGCACACTTTAAAAAAGGAAGTTATGCTGCCTCACCTTGTATTTTATTCAAAGTGGGCCTAAGTCATTACTGATTAGACTTGTGCATAGAATTTGTTTTTTCCGTTTACTCCATTTATTTTGGTACCTTCAGTTCTTCGGGAGCCTGTAACGGTAAGGCCCTCCTGGTACAAAAACCCACCCGACACGAAAGCAAGCAGGAGCCAATCTCGGCTCCTCCTTTGCTTTTCGGCACCTTTTTATTAATCCCCCAGAAAACAAGAAGAAAATCCAAATTTCCTGAAAACTACTCTCCTCTTTCAGGAGGCCATTGCTCTTCCTCATCTGGAAGTGGGAAGCCTCCTTAATTTCCTTGGAAAGAGTGCATTTATGCTTGTATGGCACAGCCTAGGAGAGAAAGCATATGTTCCTGCCCGCAGCCAAGTGCCTCCTCTGGAGTAAGAAACAGAACTTGCCTCCTTGCCTTGGAAAGAGTGCGTGTGGAATGCAGGCGTGGGAGAGAAAACGTGGGTGCCTGCCTGCAGGCGAGTGCCTCTTCTCTAGAGTAGAAACAGCTCAAATGCCTAAAATGATGGGAAGGGGAGCCTGGGAAACAACCTCCCCCACCCCCCCATAATGGGCTGATAGAAAACTGATCTTTCATCACCCCAGAGCGAAAACAGATATCTGCCCTCCCGATTTTGGGAAGTTCCCAAAAAACAGATCCCCCCACCCTCCCAAAAAAAAGCTGAGACACTAGAAGCGTCAAGGTTTACCTGGATTGCCCAAGCCTATTACTGTTCGTGAACAGATTGCAATTATTATTATTTTTTTGGAACAACTAAGGTGTGACTCTTTTATATAATAGTTGTAAAACACTGATAACATCGGTCATCTTTATGCTGTATTTTCAGCTAGATAGGGCTCTTGCCCTAGGGAGGTATTCACTCGAGCCAAATTTGATCAGTTCGAGACAATGGTTAGATCTGGGAGATTTAACTGCATCCCTTATAATGAACGGAGTTGTATCTGCGGGGCACCTGAAATTGAGGATCTAGCACACATATTATTTGATTGCAAATTGTATCAAAAGGTGAGAGACTTCCACCTTGGTCCATATATCAAATGGACGATGTATTGGGAATCTCACATCAGAACAACATATTTTATGTGTGGCCAAGACCCAAAAATAACATATAAAACAGCTCTGTACTTAAGCAAAACAATACGTCTGAAAACCACATATGTAGGGCTGATTGGGGTAAATCGTAGGGGTGATAATGAAATATGATGTATATACTCAGCTTGATCAGTTTATCAGTTTTATAATGTCTTATCATATTACTATTTACTGTATTGTTATAAGTGTCTTATTTTAACTTACTACGTGGAGAGTGATCAGGTCTTGCCAGGCCTTGTTGTTCTGTTTCTTATTGTGATATGGCCTAAGGGCTAATCAATAAAAATGACTACTACTTACTACTACTCTTGCTTTGCAAAACTAGGAAATCAGGCATTAAAAATAGATTGCCTTTATGGGACATAGCAAAGCGTTCTTCCAAAGACTTGAGAGGTCTTTTCAGTTCCATTATTGTTTCCTTGATGCATTGACATCAAGTATCAAAGTTAAAGTTCATTATTCTTACTAAAATACCCATATGCCCAACATTTTGAGCAAAAGGTGGAATTGGAAATCTACAGAAAGACAAAGAAATTCAGTGAAATTCCAATACCCTGGGTTGTACATATATAAAACTCTTGGCTTCCCCTAGTTTTCCCATATAAATCAAGTTTGTAAGAAATCTTTTGGGTCTGTTTTTTGTTTGCCTTGCATCCTATTATTGCCTTGATTTCACCATCTCTCTGCCATCTTTGGGTGTATCTATGTTAACTGTAGAATAGATGAAGTTAATGCTATAGAATGCCAAAAAGAGAGCTGTTGCCTCATCAGAATCCAACTCCCCAGGATTGCATAGCACTGAGCCAGGGCAGTTAAAGAGATGTCAAACTGCATTAACTATTCAGTGTAGATGCACCCTGAGATATATGCATGCCACTGAGATGCTTTTCCATGTTGGATGGAGAATGCAATCAAGTTAGAGCAGTGGTTCTCAACCTTCCTAATGCTGTGACCCCTTAATACAGTTCCTCATGTTATACTGACACCCACCACAACATTATTTGTGTTACTACTTGATAACAGTAATTTTGCTACTGTTATGAATTGTAATGTGAAATATCTGATATGCAGGATGTATTTTCCTTCACTGGACCAAATTTGGTACAAATACCCAATACAGCCAAATTTGAATACTGGTGGGGTTGGAGGGGATTGACTTTGTCATTTGGGAGTTGTAGTTGACCTACACTCAAAGAGCATTCTGAACTCCACCAGCAATGGAACTGAACCAAACTTGACACACAGAACTCCCATGACCCACTGAAAATACTGGAAGGGCTTGGTGGGCATTGACCTTGAGTTTTGGAGTTGTAGTTCACCTACATCCAGAGATCACTGTGGACTCAAACCATGATGGATCTGGACCAAACTTGGCACGAATACTTAGTATGCCCAAATGCGAACACTGGTGGAACACCTTGACATTTGGAGTTGTAGTTGCTGGGATTTATAGTTCACCTACAATCAAAGAGCATTTGGACACCAATGATAGAATTGGACCAAACTTCCCACACAGAACCCCCACAACAAACAGAAAATACTTAGTTTTCTGATGTTCGTTGGAGACCCCTATGACAGCCACTCGCGACCCACCCAGGGGTCCCGACCCCCAGGTTGAGAAACACTGAGTTAGAGGAACATAGCAAGGTTAAAAAGCTAAATATTGAAGCAAATTAATGGGAATACATTGCTATGGTTGATAATTAACTACATTGTAGATTGGGCTTGGCTGCAGTACATACCAGGAAAATAGACACCAAGAGAAAAACGAAGAACAGCTATTCCTAGACTTGTTCTACCCGCCTGCAGCATGGAGTTTGCAGATGATCCCTACGAACACATTTGGTTCCAATCAGTCTCCATGCACTGTAGTACATCCTGTTTGTCTACACTTATTATTACTGACAAATTATCCGCCTCTCAAATCTCAGGGAGCGTTCACTTTATCCTCACATTAAACCTGATTGGAAACAGTAGGTTTAATTGTGCTCAGCGTGAGGCCTCATTATAAAAGGCACCAGGGTCCTTTCCCCTCTTTTTTATGGCTCAAAATACT